CCTACTGAGTGAGGAGAGCCAGGAGCAGGCTCTCCTCATCTCTCCCCTCCGCAGAGCACCAGTCTGATGGGCAGCTCCTGTGTCCTCCAATATGTGGGACCTTCATGTTGGAAGGGGGCTCAGAGCAGCTAGTTCGAAAGTCTTCTTACAGATGAGGGAACTGAAGCCCAAATGACAGTGACTTGCCCATGTCACCCAAAACCTGACCAGGCATCCTGACTCCTGGCTCAGTCCCTTTTCTTTCTCCTACATTAAAAACAGTAACAACACATTTTCAGAAAGGAGAAGCAGCATCCACCACAGCTCTTCCCTGACACACTACCAGGAACGCTGTTCTCCACCCGTTTCGTCTTTGAGTCATGTATACAAGACTGTTAGGGTTGTTACTGACTTGTAACCAGTCACCTCTTTTCTCCTTAAACATTCCAGGTTGCGCTATGGTATCCATAGTTCTTGCTTAAATGGCCAGGTAATTCTATACTGGATACAGCAAAGCTGACGGACTCAGTCCCTGCTGCTGCACACTGAAAACACTTGCAAGTTTGGGCTATTGTAAGCAAAGCTGCAACAAACACCTTTGGGTATAAAGGCTGTTGTCTCTGGCTGATTATGTCTTCAGGGCAGATTCTGGGAAGGGATTTTACCAGGTCAGAAGGGATGAACAGCCTGGCTGCCTTGGCTCAGTGGTTGAGCATTGAACCAGGAGGTCACAGGTTCAAGTCCCAATCAGGGCACATGCCCAGGTTGCAGGCTCGATCCTCAGTAGGGGGCCTGCAGGAGGCAGCCGATCAGTGATTCTCTCTCATCATTGATGTTTCTATCTCTCTCTCTCTCTCCCTCTCCCTTCTGCTCTGAAATCAATTTAAATAATAATAATAATAAATATTATTTTTAAAAAAGGAGGGATGAACACAGCAGATTCTGGAGATATATATGATGGGAAGGGGCGCACATGCTGGCTCCTCCACTTGCTAGTTGGGTGAGCTTAAGCCAGGTACCCTCTCTATCCTCAAGTCTCCTGTGTCAAGTTGAGATTAATAATAGTGTTGATGTAAGAACTAAATAAGTTTAACCACAGAAAGAGCTTAGAACAGGGTAAGCATTTAGTGTATGTTAGCTGCTATGTCGACCTTACTCTTATCAATATTCATTCAATAAGTATATTGAGCACTTATCACGCCAGACACTATTCTCGGTACTATTTATCACCTTGACAAACTGCTTTCCAAAAGGGCTTTGCTAATTCGCACTATCACTAGCAAATACAAAGTTTCAGCAGTGAAAAAAAAACAAAAACAAAGTTTCAGCAGTGGATATTGTTATTTTTATCACCCCCACATGAAAATTAACAATTTGGTACATGGTGGTACCTTCTTCAATTTTTTTTCACATTGTTATCTATCTATCATCTATCTATCATCTATCTATCTATCTATCTATCTATCTATCTATCTATCTATCTATCAATCATCTATCATCACCAGGGAGGGGCTTTGGTGCTCTTCCAGTATTAACCTCCTCCGTGGAGGCCGCCACTGCACGCTGAGGCATGAAGTGGCCTTGGAGGGAAGGGGACAGTTTCACCAGATGGCACAAATTACCTGAAGGTCAGTCATATAGAACATGCGAAATCAGCCTATACTCTTCACCTCCAGAAAAACAATACTATCCCAAGGCTATGGGGCAGCCAGTGGGGAGGCTCTGCTTTCTTTCCCACCCTCCTCTAGCTTGATCTGGAGGTGAGACACGGTGGGTGGCACAGTCTGACTGCAGAGCCACCATTTCCAATATGGGAGTCGGGCACAGTATGACTGTTCAGGCCCATGACCCCCTCCCCTACTTGCTGATAGTTGCCTCACTGGTCGCAGTGACAGGGGCAAAGGACATGAAGTCACCCAGGCCTGTTCTCGCAGTTTACCAGTAGGGGGAATGTCTTGTCGAAGGTCACTGAGCTAATTCAAGTCGCACTGTTTCCTCACTGCTGGCTGGGGCTCTGTCCACAGCTTCACACTCACCATGGCAATGGGGCGGCCAAAGTCCAGAACCCAGTTCTGCAGGGTGAAGTAGAACCAGAGGTCAAGGTGAAAGGGAGCTGTGCCGGTGGCCTCCTCAGCCTTCATGGAGCTGTGCCTGGGAAGGACCAGACGGAGGGGTCAGTGCTTCTCCCTCCCACAGGGTCCTCCTAGACTCCCCCCTCCACCCTACCCGCTTCAGTGAACCACGGAAAGGTCTGGGAATTTGGGGGCAGGAGGAAACACACATAATTAAGTTCTAGGAAAAGAATTCTGCAGGAAATACTGGGGTCTGGGCCTGGGCCTGTGGCCAAGGGGAAGGTGTCCTGAAAATGAACTCCAGCTGCCCTGACTCCAGCTTCTCTGTGATTCAGGAAGAAAGCTGCCAACAGGCATCATAACTGTCCGCTTTTCTCACCTATAAAATGATGAGGAAATCAAATAGGGGAAAGAATGCAAACACAGCTGAAAAACATGAAACATAACGATGGATGATAGTCGCTAACCTTTACTGAACACTTATTATATATTCTGGGCACTATTTACATTATAGCTGTTTACATGTATTACCTCATTTACCTGTTTTAATCTTCACAGAAATCTTTTGAGATTGGTCTATTACCCCTATTTTATAAGTGAAAAAACAGAGGCCCAAGGTATTAAGTAACTTGCCCAGTTAACATTGCTAAATATGTGAACCTAAATGATGAACCTTTAGATCTTATATTTTTTAACCTTCAGCCCATTACTGTGTCTACAGTGATTGGCCTGTGGAGTGGGCATGTGACTTGAGTTGGACCAATCAGAGCCCTCTAGTGAAATCTGCCTCATAGATTGTAGACTAGGATGAACAGGGTCTCCCTCCCCTTGGTTCCTAACCACGGGAAAGTATGAATGGGACTGTGGTATGCCTCTTCTCACCAGTCCACAGTGAGACCTAAGAAGGATGCCAGCGGACAGGTTGATGTGAGAGCCATGGCAAGAAGTGGAGCACCATCTGCTAATACATCTCTGGATGCCTGTCCCTCCTGAGAGGCAGTTAGCCTCGGCTCTTCACAGATGAGCTGAAGTCCAAGGGCCACCTCCTCCAGAAAGGTTCCCTGATGAAGCTTTTCCCAAAGCTCCACTACAGGGACTGCTTCATCTCGAGCTTGCAGCCTGGCCCTGACATCACAGGGCTGGGGTTTTCCTCTCTTATCTAGACCCTCAAGAAGAGGAGTGACCTTTAAGTTTCTCTCAATTCACCCACCTCCCCATCAGAGTCCAAATCCTCTTCACAGCATCCCTGCTACTACTTGCACACCTCCAGGGACAGGCAGCTCACTACTTCCTAAGATGCTTGAGGTGTGAGTTTTTTTTGTTTTGTTATTTTTAAATATATTTTATTGATTTTTTACAATTGTCCCATTTGTGCCAAGAACAAAAATGATGTGACATGGATTTGTATTCTCCAGAGTTCTCAGCTCAGTGCCTGGTTTAGGCTCAGGGATTACTGGCTGATTTGAAACAATCTCAATTACCAGTTACTCATTCTTTTTAGTGGCAGGCATTAGCTTAAAGGCAGCAGAAAGGCTTTCCTGTCAAGGCTGCTATTGCTTCCATGCCTTTCCAGGATCCTTTCCAGTCAATTCCAAGACTGGAAAGGGCCCCACTGGTAGAGCAACTGTGAGACTGGGCAGTGAGTTTTATTGTCCCACTAGAAGTCCACTGCACGAAGATTCGTGCAAGAACGGCTTTCCTTTCCCCGGCTGCCAGCACCGCCTTCACTCCGGCCCGGCTGTGCCCTCTACGCAGTGCCCCCACCGCTGATCGGGTCTGACTGTGTGCTGTGCTAAGAGCTTCACCTGCACCATCTCATCTCATCCTCACAGCAATACCAGGAAGCAGGGCGTTTCCTCTCCTGTTTTACAGATAAGGAGACAGCAGCTTACAGGCATGAAGTGCTTAGCCAACGTCACTCCTGCTTAACCAAGGTCTCCCCTTTTTACAAGGAAAAAGGGGAGAAAAAGTCCTGAGAGTGTTCACATTCCCAGTTCCGGGCATCCCGAAGGCCAGGGATTTGACCACATGAGCCAATACATTCCCTTTGCTATGACGCTACCGTTCACACTGGCTTTCTGTCACTCACAACCCAAGAGTCCTGAATGGCACAGAATTCAAAACTGGGTCTGCAGGAATTTAAGACCTGTGCTCTTAATCGCTTGCTATTCTGTTTTTGTTCATTCGAATAAGCCATGCAGCATATTAGGAGATCAACTTAGAGAGGGGTCAGTGCAGCCTGGAGCAGTACACAGAGCACAGAGGGGAGCCTCAAAGCATGGAAGGGTGGATTTAACCAGGCAGAAAAGCAGCAGGAGAGTAGGATCCCAGGCCTGGAGGTGGAAGTAAGAAAGGCACTGCATGGAGTTGAGATGCCTGGCCTATGGTGGAGAAGAGAAGGGAGGGACTGGCTGGGCCTTCAGATTGTGTAGATACTCAGAAACTAAGTGCAAGGACCGCTCAGGGTTCTGAGCCCAGTGACTGAGGCCCCGCCCTGCCCCTGCCCCTTAGTGACCATCAGCGCAAGGCCTCAAAAAGCAGAGTGATAACCACCAGGCCCGAAGAACTTGTATGGAGAAGGAGGATAAGAGTCCTCAGTGTTCTGTTCCAGAAACTTCCAAACTGGGCAAAGAGAAGGATGTTTGGTACAGGGAATAAAGGCTTTTTGAGAGCCTGGGAAAGCACGTAGGTGTAACCATATTAGAGGCTCAGTAATTATTTCCTCCTCCACCTCAGGAAGTGCCTCAGTCAATGGGGATCTCTGCCATTAGTCCAACCTGGCTAAGCAAGGCAGACACCCAACTTGGGAATCACTGATCAGCATCTAACTGTTTTTTGTTGTTGTTGGCTCACTGACCATGGGAGGCAGATCATGGCGGGTGAAGTCATCCTCTCCCCCATCCTGTCCTGGGAATGAACAACCTTAAGCTTTTCCCAAGTTGCTGACTCCACAGACTTCACACACTGCCCCCCACCCCAGCCTATATCAGCTCTAGTTCTCAATCATCAGAAACTACTGCTGAGAGCAATGGTGAAAGCACAATGGCAGGTAACCTGAAACAAGGCTGGCCTTTTCTCTCCTCCACAGCTTTACAAGTCTACCATATGGGGAAACTGATACCATAGCATTGGGAGTGCATACCTTACAGCTGGCATATTCAAAGCAGTCAGCAGCATCTGCAAGATGCCTAGCAGAAAAGGAGGGGGTTGGCCATGGTGGAGTCAAGCAGGGACCATGAATAGGGACTATCGACCGACTGACTTTGGTTCTATATAAAGAATGGTGAAATATCTGACATGATGCAAAGTTTGAACAAAAAATGAGGAAATAAAGGGAAATAAGAGGGGGAAAACAAAGGCAATTAGAAACTCCAGGGAAAACAAAAGCAATATAAGAAAGAACATGTAACTGCTAACTATCACTTGGTTTTGTGGAGAACACTATTCACATGGCTTAACTAATGTAAATATTGTATATTGATTTTCAAAGTTTAGAATCAACCCACAGATAAAACACTGAAGGCAATGTGGTTAAAAAACAGCAGGTAAATGTTGTCAACCTTGACAACTTAGAGTAAAACTATATATGACAGGAGTTGGAGGAAAGGGTAAAGACAGCTAAAGGCTAGAGTAAGCAGGGGACTAATATTCTCCTTTTAAAAAGTAATCAAGGGATACGGCCTACAGTTGACCAAAAAAGAAATAAAGGCATATGCAATTCCCTAAGGCTACAAAGGTAACAAAGAGAAAAACTAAAAATAGTGATAAACACCACCTATTGAAGATGAAGGAGGTATAAGTGAGCCAAATCATAATAGGGAAAAGTCAGTTGGTAAACATTAGCTTAGAGGATAAAATTGATAAACCGAGACATAGCAGCTGAACATAGCTTTTAAGAGTGTGGACTTTGGCCCTGTCTGGTGTTGCTCAGTGGTTAGAGTGTCGGTCCACGCACTGAAGGGTTGCAGGTTCGATTCCCACCCCGTCACAGTTGGGGTGCACAGGAGGCAACCAATTGATGTCTCTGTCACATCCATGTTTCTCTTTCTCCCCCACCCCCACCTTCTACTCTAAAATCAATGGAAAAATATATTTGAGTGCTGGAGGCAAAGACCAAAAAGTGGTTAGCTTAATAAATGCCAGAGGTCTTTCAGAAGGCTGAAGGACCTCAGGGCTTTAGCAAGGGATGTTCTGTCAGAGACAATGGTGACTGAAGGCAATCTCCTAACCCAGTGGTCTGCAAACCACACATGCGGCTCTTTGGCCCCGTGGTGTGGGCCACGAAGTTTCAATTGCACTGTACGTGCGCACCCGCACGTGGTATTTTGTGGAAGAGCCACACTCAAGGGGCCAGTTTGCTGACCACAGTCCTAACCTGATAATCTTGTACTTTTTACCAAACCTTACCATTGATGTAGGTTTGCTTTGCTAAAAGGCACATGTATATTCTAGTAAATAAAAAGCTGTGGGTCGGGAGATTCAGAGAGCTTCGCCACTGGAGTGAAGCCTCTGCCTGGCTTTCCCCCATGCCTTCTATATTTATATTTCTTGTCTACTGTATCCGTTTATGTCACAGCCCCTTCTCCAGATCCTTGAACCCTCGCTGCTAAAGGTTGCAGCATTTGAGAGAGGATTAACAGACAAACAAAAACCAAAAAGAGTGTGGACTTTGGAGACCACCTAAGTTCACATCCCAGGTCTGCCACTAACCAGGTCTTGAGCACTTACCTCCTGGACCTCAATGTTCTCATCTGTAAAATAGGGGATAATAGTAGATCCTATGTCAAGAGTTAAGATTGGATTAATATGTGCAAAAACTTAGAGCAGGGTCTGGTCCACAGAAACTGCTACACCGTTCCTTATTATTG